AATTAAGAAAAAAATACAAAAAAAGATCATTTTTTTGAAACTTTGCGATTGAAACGAATCGCAAGTGAAGACATAAGTTTTACCGACGCAGCAACAGTACATTGCATTTATTAATAGATAAAAAGACAATATAAGCTAGTTTAAAAATTCAAAATCGTTTAACTTGACTTAGAGGAGGAAAAATATTATTATTAAGCTTAACTTTATATTCGAGATAACTTAAAATTATTATAATTTTTATGTAAATCAGTGTACTCCTCTTGTAAGATGCAAATAAAAAATCTTTTTAAAGTCAAAATAAATATTTTCGAATAGAAAAATAAGTTCAATAAGTGTATTTAAAGTTTTGACCCCCTACGTAAAAAAAAATGGTTAGATTTAAAGTATTTATAAAAAAATTGTATTGATCTATATATTGTTCAAAAAAATATAGCAATATAAATTTAAAAATATAATGTCGAGAATTTTCACAAAAATCATACATATTTCTTTAACTTAGATGTCTGTTTTCATCGTGAAGACAAGTCCAGTTGTCAATTTTTTTTAATTAAAGCTTTAATTTTAGGTATATATAAATGTGTCAGTATTTCCGGATCATTTTCAAAAGTTAAAAAATTTCATGTTTTGTGGAAAAGTATTTTAAAACCCCCCCTGTAGGCATGTAAGGGGTTAGATTTGGAATGGTTACGATAATACTGCCTTAATGAAATTGTATAATAATAAAAATAATTTTTTTGTTTTAATTCTGCTATAGCTAGCGAGACGGACACGGTCGAAATAACATGGTAAACTCAATTATTTTTAAATTTGTATTACAGAGAATCAAAAAACTGCTACAATTTAACGAGTAAAATACAATAGTTGAAAATAATTACAATTAATATGATAATAATTAACTACATATAACCTTAAATAATAAGTCAAAAATAAAGAAATTGAAATTAAAATCTATGCATGCAATATGAATATTGTTTGGATGATTACAATTTTAGTACAAGGTTAATAACTGCTTGAAAACTCATAAATACAATTGGCAAAAGTGCAGCGCTAAGATTAAACTTATAATTTGATGGCGTTAATAAACAAATGTGTTTTTATAACTCATTTCGTTAGAAAATTGCTACTAGGAGTTAACACATTTTTATCAATTCTAAATCGATATCGCAAAATAATTAATAAACGCATTTATTTAAGACTATTAACCACAATTAATTTGCACTAGTTTTAATGATCGTAATCAAAAATAATATAGATGTTTCAAAAACACTCTATATTAATAAAGGAAGAGCTTAACAATCATAATTAATGTTTGACAAGTAATGAGTCATTTACTATTGCTTAATATTTAGATAGTTTTAAATCCTAAATAAAATTCATATAGCTAATTATTAATTGATTATTGAATTAATCTATAATAGATATTTATAATGTAGTAGATTTAAATAAAATCTTTCAAATAATGTACTAACAAAACTTTTTTTTATTTGAGAAAATAGCTGCCCCTTTTGTATTTACTCCTGATTCTATCTATCTACTTGACAAAACAAAGAGGCATAACTTGTGGGAATTTAGAGTTAAAAATACTTATAACTTATAAATCATTTTACAGATAGTAGCTATTTAAAAAAAAAGAATTAAAAAGAATTCATACTAAAGGGGAGCAATATTAAGCTAGTATAACTATGCCAAGTTGGTAAGAAAAGTTACTTGAAAATAAAAAAATTATAAAATAATTGTGCTCTATCTTTATAAAAAATATTTATTTCGTCTTATATTCAAGGGTGAAAGTATATATTTAATGACTTTTCAGGTTATTATCATCAGGTTGCAAAATGTTTAAAACATATGTTTTAAACTGGCGGTCGAGTTTTAAGCATTTTATACGTAAACTTATAAAACGTTTTAAACAAGAATAACTACTTAAAAAACACTAAAATATCTTATCATTATTAAAACCAAATTATTTTAAATTTATGGTTTTTTTTTTACCAAAAATTTTTCTTTGTAAATCATCTAGACGTGCTTATTGTAAAAATATGTAATTATATTCCATAAAAATTAATGAGGAAAAAAAACAGGTAATCAAAAATTTATTTATGGGTAACTGAAAAAATTCAAACAACACACTATCTAAAACCTTAATGCTGCCTGAAACAATCGAATCCTCTAGCCCTTCTATATATATCTCTGGATATGATTATGATAACATTGAATATATTATAAAAAGTTATACATTAAAACTTTTAACCATAATTACTTAAGTTTAATGATATTTATACATAATTTTTTTATGACATTAGTTTGTATTCATATTTTTGTAAAATATTTTTTATAATTGACTAAAAGTATTATTTTTTATGGTTTGTTAATATTTTTGATTACATTTTCAATAATTCATTATTTTCAATTAAATCAGTTAAGCTTAATTACAATAAATATAGCTATAACTATAAATATACATATACATATAGATAAAAATAACTTCTATCATAATAAACATCTTCAATTTTTATTTGCTCTTCTTAAATAATTAAATCAATATCTTAAGTATGTTATATCCCTAAGATGTTTTAAGATAAGTGACCTGTGTTAAAGATCTTATTTTTTATTATTTTACCAAACATACATAATTCTAATAATATAATAATTTAGAAATTTTTGAACGATCGGCTCAATTATAAAGATATGATAAAACAGTCGTTTTATAACAATAACATGCTGAGTATAATATAGTATAGTGTATTCTAGATAATATACTAAATAAAATAAGATAAACAAAAAGATAAAAAAATTTGTAAAGAAATAGTAGGACTTATATTTCAAATTATGTTTTTTGAGAAAATANTTTGTAAAGAAATAGTAGGACTTATATTTCAAATTATGTTTTTTGAGAAAATAAAACTTATCTCTAAATTGGAAGTAATAAAAGCAAAAATATAAAGATTTGCATATTTTTATATATATTTTAACAATTTTATAAACATAATAAATTAGTTTTATATTCCGGGATAGATATGAACAAAATTCTGATTGAATTAGACATCTTTAACAATTGAAAAATTGTCAGTTTTTTGGCTTTAAATGTTATTTCCCTCAACAAAATTCTGAGTTAATTATATAAAAATAGTATAATAAAATCATTTATACTACTGACTATGAATAAGAACAATGATTTCAATTATTATTTCCCTTAATAATGAAATTATCAAATACGATTCATTATAAAAACATTAGTTAAAGTGTGGGTGGACGAGGGGGACAGAGTCACCTTTCTTATTTGAAGCACAATCTAGCTTCCATTATTTAAGTCGAATCCCAAAATGCCGGGGGAGCGCTTTAATTTTGAAGAGTGGAAAGCGATAATATAATAAATTTATTCAAATTATCAAAATTGTTAAAAAAAAAAATTAATTTTAGAAAAACTTATATATTATGAAATCATAAGAATTTTAAGATACAACCGTGGTAATATAAGTATTTGGAACACGGTCAACCATGACGTAAATAATAATTGTTTTGTTTTTGGATTACTTAAAAGTTTAATTAATTATTTCTTTAATGTAAGCTTAAAAAACCACGTAATTAATTTGACTTCTCATAGAACTAAAATACTTATTATACTAAGGGTTATAAAGTGATAGAAATATAAATTTAAAGTGATAGTAACATTTGTTATACCAATAGAACCTACTATGTTGTGGATATATTTTTAATTTGTCGAATACTTCATAAATTATAAAACTATATTTATCTTTTCATATTTTAATGATACCTACCTCAATTGGTTTCTTTTAATATTTTTTTCTCAACTTGTATCTATTATAGTATAATATTAAAAATTTTAAATAACTGTTTTGCATTTAATTTATAATATATTAAAATTTTGATACTGACTTTGTGATGTTTTGTATAATATTAATTTCTAATTGATTTTTAATGAAATAACAAAAATTGTAGGTAGGTACTAACTAATCTATTCTTTTATTGAGATCATTTTTTTGTACTAATTATATATGCTTATTATGATCAATATTATTTTTAACCTTTGAGGGGAGACAATTCAGTGTGCCTCGGAAACGCTCCTCAATTTTTAGGAACTTAAGTACACGCAATTGTATTTTTTTTACAAATAATAAAATGTTAAGAATATGATTAACTAAATGTATTCATTTGTTTAGGTATGCGCGTAATGGCCATTACAAATAATAAATAATAATAAACATTGTTAATAGATTCTAAATCAATTCTAATAGATATATTATAAAACATTCGTTTTTGAATTGAATTGTTAGATAATAGTGAGTAATCGGCATAAAATAATATAAGTGAATATTTTTTGCCTATTAGTAATCTAGTTTGATACTCTATATTACTTATACCTCTAGGATTTATCAATGTTAATTGTAGTATTTACAACCTCAAAATATCCCAATGTTTAAAAATCCATAAAAACTGATAAGCTTTTGAACGAGGTTCTCACATTTTCCCAAGATAAAGTAAAAAAATGTAACAGAATAACTCTATTTGTAGTACATTTATAGAACAATTACATAATAGCCTTACCATACAACTTAATAGATCTTAATGGATATACTACGTATCTTTCTATGAAATCTATTAAGAGTACAATACTAAAGTACAACGATTAATATTAGAATTTTTTTTTAAACATTTTAAGGAAACAAGAAAAAATACATATTACAAAGTAAAATTAATATCCAGCTGTGTTACGTAAAAATATTTAATAATCATACAAATTATATAAAATAAAAATTTTAAATATTTTGTGTGTTATGTAGCTCTGAAATAAGATACTTAAATAGCAATTTGAAGTAAAATCGACTAATTAAATTTGTAATTATGACAACAGAGCAACAAAAATTATTAATAAATATAATTTAAAATAAAAATAAAACATTTTTTTTTAATCAAAGGGCTCAAAGTTTAATTTGGAAATAATATTATAAAATAAAGCAGTATTAGCATTACTTGGTACTTACCTATAAAAATTTCTTGAGTGAACTTTTAAAATATAAAAATTCGTTAATCACTCTCGACAATAAAATTTTATTCGGTACAATAAGTTAATAACAAATTAAAAATATCTAAAATGAAACTCATTTAAATGCGACATTAATAATAGAAATGTATAATTAAATATTCTTGATGATAAAAATACTTCTCAATAAATATTTTCGTACATTATCGGTTTGACTAAAAATTAACGAACTTAAGAATTGACCTAAACGTTACCGAACAAGTAGTTATGTATAAATGATATTGTCGACTAAAAGGCGCCGGGTGCGGTCTTAACCGACAATCAGTATACAGATTGAAATTGGTTAAATTATCCGATGGTATGGTAATGGTTTATTACTGAGAAGTACACTGGTACTACATGCGCCATACAATAATACCTTATCATTGTACAAAACATATCCTAACCTACTACATTTAGCCTTGGCTCTTTTTTATTATCAGGTGAGCCAACCTACATTTATATTATACTTTAACAGTGTAACCACATCTAGTGTATCTACTAATGAAAGGCACTATCAAGTGATCATTCAATTGTTATCATCTATGACCGACTAGGTTCAGGTTATCGAACTAACAGATAAAATATTCGAAAGTTTTCATTCGAATAAAAACTACCGTATGATGATTGATAGTTCAATAGTGAAAAGATTTCAGTAAATCCATTTTTCATTTAAATATGATATTTATTGATTCATTTAGTAATTATAATCCGAATAATATACTGAATTGTTAGTGATCATATCATTCATGATAACAGTTCGATGGTCGGTATTTTGGTGTCGATTATTCAATAACTAAATAGTATTGAAAAACGTTGCATTTCTGTCGATAATATGTTGCTATATGAAAAAATAATGTTGATGTCATTATAAGGTATAAGAGATGAATTAAAAAAATTAATAAATTATATAACAAAAAATTTATGAAACTATAAAAAACCAAGTAAAAAATTCTGAACGTAATTATTATTTTAAGAGAAATCGAATATCTTTATGTAAAAAAATCTCCTTGTATTAAAATATTTTTTGAAATCTGGGTGGATTTGCAAAATTTTTATTTATAATATTTCAAACATTTGCTTTGCCAACGATACAATTTTTTTGAAACTCTTATCTACAAAACTACTGGAAAGAGTCATAATTATTATATCAAATTTTTTTCTTTTCAATTTTTAAAATGTTCCATAATTTTCACTTCTTTAATCCTACACACAATTTAACCTAATAAAATTTACTTTAACTCAAAAAAATAAAAACTAACTGATACCTTGATGTCTAGGAATTATCGGATATTAAAACCAAAAACCATACGTTATTCTGTAGAAAGTTAACTTTGAATTTTTTTGTAAAATAAAATTCCGGTGACTTGTCCTTTATGAGTAATTGGTCTTATAAGTAAAATGCCATGTAATTTCTGGTATACAGAGTGTCCCTCCATATTCTGACACCTTTAATAACATTGGATCCTATAATATTATGCATAACTTTTAACATTATTGCTAAGTTGATTTTGGAAAAATCCAACAATTACATCTAAAAATTATTTACTGTGCAATCTAAATTACAAAATGTTGCAGTTTTGATGGTTTTAGGTAACCAAAAACTATTAACAAGTGACATTGATGTAACATAATTTTTTACATAATTATTAAGGTACATTGTTTGAATATCATAAGTCGTACACGAGTGAAATGTTACAAAAAACATTCATACAATGTTAAAAAAATGTTCCATTGAAATAATTTTATAAATATTTAGTGATATTATTTAAATGTTAATTGAATAATTTGATTTTAATGTTAAAAAATTCATTGCTACTTACCAATAATGGTAAGATGTGTGGGTAGTTACTTACAATTGTAAGTACTACTAAGTAAGAATTTTTGTAAGTTAAATTTGTTATATACATATTTTATTTTTGTATAGGTTAACCAAAATATAATTTATAGTAACTACGTTATCACACAAATAAATTACTATGTTATACATACAAATTTGATAGCAAGGTCTGCTAATAACTATAGAAATGGAGATTAAATGTATGTGACCATCATTTAAATTACAAATTTTCTATTACTATGTATTCCAATAATAATATTTGTAGGTAATTTTATTCTAATTTGGCCAAAGTAGGTGGAAATATATAAAAGGCCCAAATTGGTTTGATAAGTTAGTAAATAACTTTGTTCTTAACAAAGTTCTTATGATTAGTTAAGGATAGATTTTACCTCATCAAACAATTAAGGTAATTAATTATGTTGTTAAATTTTTTTCTTATTTAAAGTTTTTATTTTAAAATTATTTTAGATATTCTAATTTTTTGCGATTTAAAAAACAATAACTATATTCCAATTTAAGTACCCAATAAATGATGACTGTGTTAATATCTCACAATTAAGAGGTAAATACTATTTCGGACCGGTTCATGGGCGACATTTGTGTATACATTCACCCAGGCTTTGTTGTAAGGTTTTTTTTCTACTACCCATTGTCCTTATTTATGTTGTGCATCACGAAGTACTTTTCAGATAACAGAGCTATGTGGGGGTCCGGTAGGGGCGCATTGGGTGAAACCCCCTTCGAGCCAACGTTTTTTTAGCTTTTTATTTTAGTAAAAACGTTTTTTAAAGCATAAAATTTCATAAAGACTTTGGTAGGTTAGTGTGGGTAAAAAAAGTGCAACATTTAATGGAGACTAGTGTTTTATTATTACAATAAATCCTAAAACTTTCAAAAAAGGAAACAGAAAAATATATAATAAAAAAATTAGTTATCTCAAAATTAAAATCAGTACTAACGATACTTAAAACTTTCTAGTAGGAACTTTTTCATCGGTTTGCGAAACTTTTTGGTTATCATTTACACCTATAAATATTCCCTTATACAACTCTTGTTCTTTCGTCTTAACAGTTTCTATAACTCTCCTTTTTTTATTAAACCACTCATTAATTGTTGGACGAGGATTCCATTCGGCTAATGGAGGAAGATTAAAATAAATATAAAGATATTCATTTTTGCTTTCAATATTTAGACTGCTTCTATTATTGGTTTTCAACAAATTGTTCACACTAATCACTCTTTCAACATCAGCCGAATGAGGTTTTGCTGCAACAATTCTGGCCATAATAACAGAAACATTGGGAAAAAAATTTGTCCTCACTAAAGCATGAAGAGTTTCTTTCAAGCTGATTTTTTTTAACTGTTCAATATTTTGTTGCATAGGAAGCTCCAAATATAAATAAAAATTCAACAAGATCTAAGTCGCTTCCTATTAGTTTATGAACTGCTTTCATATAAGCGGATGACTCTAGCTCAGTGAATGGTTTTAAAATTTTAACAGTATCCGCATCAATATCGAATCTCCTGCAAAAAATTTACAAGAGAATCCACATACAATGTTCATTGCAGAAAATTAACTGGTAGAAGTAGAGAATTAGTAGAAGTATTGAAGAGGAGAAAAGTTAACATTTGTTGTGTGCAGGAAACTTAGTGGGAAGATGAGAAATCAAGGGAAATAAGTGAGGGTTATAAAATAATATACTCAGGTAAGTCTAGTACAAAGAATGGTGTAGGGATAATAATGGATGAGGAGATGAAAAGTAAAATAGTAGCAGTAGCTTGGAAAAGTAACAGGATTATAGTCGTAAAATTAATTTTAGAGGAAAAAGTGCTGAATGTAATAAGTGCCTATGCAACATAAGTGAGATGTAAGAGATACCTGGCTATGAGGATGCGGTGATAGGTGCAGATATGAATGGACATGTAGGTAATGAGAGGAGAGGATATGAAAGAGTACATGGAGGGTATGGTTTTAGTGGGAAGAATGAGGCTGAAGAAAGAATCCCGGATTTCGCAGTATCGTATGATCTTGCTGTGGTTAATACTTATTTTAGAAAGAGGGAAGAACATTATATAACTTATAAGAGTAGGAGGTATAGATCACTGATTAATTATTTATGTGGAAGAGAGAGGAGAGCGTAAAACGAGTAAAGTTTTACCAGGTGAGAGTGTAACTACACAACATAGACTGATGGTAATGGAGTTGTGGTGTACCGGAAGAGATTAAACAAAAATAGAAGAAATAGAGGGGTAAAATTGAAGATCCGATGGTGGAAATTGAAAGGGGAAAATGAAAAAGAGTTTGTAAAGACGGTAAAAGAGAGGACGGTGTAGAATGTCAAGGGAGACATAAATGATGTGTGGAATAGATTTGCTAGTTGTGTAAAGAATACTGCAAAGGAGATTGTTGGTGAGAATAAGAGTAGAATGCCAGGAAACAAGGAAACCTGGTGATGAGATGAGGACATTCAATAAATCATAGAAAGTAAGAAAAAGCAATTCAAAGTATGGCAGAAATCGGTGAGAGCTGAGAAAAAGTGGTAACAGACAAAAAAAAACACATCATAGTAAAACCAATACCTTCTCAGCTTCGCATCGAAGTTAAAATGTAAAAAAATGAATTATTAAGATATAATTATAGACCGAACGTATAACTATTATTTAAAAGAAAAATCAACTATAAATATTATCTGAATCAAAAGTTATTTAAGTTGTCAATGAGTGATGGCCTATTCTGTATAGATAAAAATATTGTTTAAAATAATTTTTATTATATAAATAAAAATTTTCGTTAGTAAATTTCAATAATTTTTTTAAAGTTATTTGCATAACAACATAATTAATTATAATATTTATTATAATAAATATATTTTATTTATAAAAATAAATATTACATTTTTTTTTATGTCTCTAAGTCATTTAGGGGATTAGTTTTATCCATAGGACACCACGACAAACCAGTATCAGTTTTAGCATACGGGCAGGTTAGGTAACTACCAGTACCAAATTGTTTGGCTTTTATTAAATATTACGTTCATGCCTATATATAAGATTTTTGCGAGAAAGTATTAATATTAATGAGAAAATATAGTAATTTTTTGTCCCATAACTATCAAATGACATTCGCTACCAGGATTTTTTGCCCCCCTTAACCAAATATGGTCACGTCGTTTTAAATAATTACTTATTTTATCACATAGGTAAAACTTTATAAAGAAAATATGACGTTTTACCTAAGGTAAATAAATTATAATAGATAATGTATATATGTAATAAATAATAAAAATATAGTTTATAAGAATATAAAGTCATCAAGAAATTGTAACAAAATTCAAATATTAATTATAAGTTTAAAAAATATCTAATACGTGTAATAATATAATAAAAAACCCAGCACATGGGGGTCGCGGCACAATGGTGCCGTGGTATAGTTGGATCAAAAATAAACGCTTCGATGCAAATCTTTAGATAGTGTTTAATTTAAAAAAAATTGGTGATTTATTCCAAAAGCTACATGATCTGCTG